TTCAAGAAAAATATAAAAAACATTTTTCTCTCCGTGCATTCTCAATAAATGATAATCATACAAACTATTTCTCTGCTTTTTATTTGCTGAAAATTTTTTCGATCTATCTCATATGCCACACGATAATTTCTGATCGATAGATCTAATTGTAGTCTTTGTGCACGTACAGAATTGAGAAGAAAAGAAATGCCTTTTATTTGATAAGAATAATGTTTTCAAACCATGATGCCACCGACAGCGATGAATAATTACATCTAAAAATAGTGATTGCGATAAAAATAAATCCCGCAAAAAAGGTAGATGTGATAAGATAAACAAACATCGTGTTATGGTTATGATTAACCGAGTAAAAATTCAATGGATAAATATCAGTAGGATTTTAATCAAAATTGAGGTATGTCATTCACTCAAACGATTCCCACAGGATTTAGAATGATAACCGGGTGTTTACCAAGTGAGTAGATCACTGAGCAACGTTTGAATAGCGGATCGGAGGGACAGTCGGATGTATCAAGCGAAGACAGAAATCAAACTGAGGCTGTCAAACACGCCATGTTTACCCCTTAGTGTCTACTACCAGAATGAGCCCCTTCACCTGTTGAGCAATGCCTCACGCACCTGCACGCAATAATCACAGTACGACTCATTCGTGTGGTGAGAACCCCATAGAATAATACAACCCCTCAAAATAATTTCAATTAATTTTAAGGGAAATGAGAAGGAATTCCGTGAGATTTTTTTACATGAGATTTCCACGTCTGTCGTTAATACAAAATAGTTGATTTCCGGAATATTCGATAAAATTAAAATATTCGCACTGAGAAAAATTATTTATTTGCATTAGATAAAGTTTATTTAAATAGTCCCAACTGAAGTTTTTTTTTCAAATCAAATAAAAATTTTGATTCATTTCGTTTGTATTGAATAAATGTTTTTTTTTACTATTAATAAATTCTTATTTGATCCAAATAAATTCTTTATTTATACCACATAAACAGTTTTCTTATATTACGAAAATTTCTTCCTTTGAATCAAATAAATTTTTTCTTTGAACTAAATAAATGTTTATTTGATACTACTAATTTATTATCGCTTTGAGATGGTAATAAACTCGAAAAAGATTGAAGGAAAAACATGCAATAATTATTAGGGGCTGTATATACATCACGTAAGACATTTAGGGGGAGGGGGGGGGAACTTTCAGTTTCATCGTTTTACTGTCAGGGAGACGATGGTGAAAGAAGGTCGTATATACGGGAGTGAAAAATGTAATAAAGAATTGGATTAAAATGATTCTAAAGAGCTCCAATCGTCCAGATTTTACGTTTCCTTAGGTTCATACGACCTTTTCCCACGTAGCTTACGAAGATTGTTGAAATATACTTTCCAAATTTTTTCACAAAATAGATGAAAATGTGATTTGTTTTTAATAAAAACAACAATTTATTTCAAATAAATAAACTGTTTATTCGATTAAAAAAAAATTCATTTTAAATAAAACTAAATAAATAGTTTTAATAAATAAATAGTTTGTTCAATATAATGAAATCCTTTTTCTTGAAATAAGTAAAAAATTAGAAAAAAAACATTTCATTAAAAAAAGCAAACATTTTTCTGGGCGCACACGACAATTAAAATAATTAAAAATTGAGAAAATTCAGACAACTTGTGTTTTGAATTCGCAATCTACACTGAGAGAAAAATGAACAAGCTCTTAAACAAGTCTTGCTTGGGCCAAAAAATCGCTAGTTGAAAATTAGCAAAAAATAAATCAGTAGCGAAGCAGTGAAGCGACTTAAGTAGACTCACCTCTTAGCTGAGTTTTCGATAAATATCTCGGAATCTATGGAAGATAGCGAGATTCTGCTCATAACCTTTTTTGTAGTCATCAATCCGCTCTACAAAAAAGGTTATGACAAAAATTCTGCTATCTACCGTAGATTCCGAGATATTCGGTGAAAATTGATTGACTAATTGTCAAATTGACTTGAACCGTTTTGCTGCTTCATTGCTGAAATTGCTTGATTCGAATTTCAAAGTCTCGAAAATGCATAATTGCTCCGCTTTCAACAACAACGAAATATTAGGCTCAAGAGGCGGATCATTCACATGAAAGGCACAGAGCTTTTCCGGAATGAAAAGATCTCTTACAGAGGAGAGTTTATCAAGAAATATTGTCTCCCTGAGTTGTAAGATCGGAGCTTATAATTATTATTTCATTTAAGGATTCTTTTCTTGTCTGGGATTATTGAATAATGGAAATGGAAATCTACTACCTCTTGTTTGGCACAAATCAAACATTTCACTGTAGCGAAATTCTCGCAATTCTTCTCAATGATCTCTCATTGTCAACATATTATAAAAATTAATTAAATACATCGAGTACGAGATCTTAATATTCACAGAGAATAAAAAAATGTATAACCTGCGAAAACGTAAATAGTTGAATATAACAATTTGATTGATTACGCTATCATCCTAAAAATCAATGATTTTGGGACAAAATATTATGAAACATTTGTTGTAGCTGAGGCTAATACTAACTATCCTTGGAAAACACCTTGTGACTTGCAATCTCTATCTGATTCTTTATCATCTATATGTCTCATATCGGTCTAGAATTAATACGAAGCGGTGCTTGCAAAATCTATTTAAAATGAATACACTGAGAGAAAAATTTCCTAATACGTAGACCATATTTACTTGAGAGAAGTACATTATTTTCAATGGTTTGAATCTCAGAATGTTTGTGGTTCACGGAACTCAAATGAATTCTCATTTATCATTATCGTTGCGCATTATATCATGAAAATATTGCATATCGAAATAGTGGAACTGCATAACAAAAAAATTATGAAAACAATAAATACTTGACGCTTGACGATTCTTCTACGCGATTTGAGTGAGTTCATTTGCGACAAAATCATACTTGAGTACAAGAATATTTTAAAGCATGAAACCTTTCTCGGGCCACATCAGTTGAGATGTCTGGTAGAATTGAGCAATTGAAGAAAAATTACTTGTCTCAAGAAAATATGTTTTAGATATTAGAAATTTTTTTTCTCAGTGTATCAATTTCTCAACGACAAAATTCATCACAATGACGCACCATGGATAGGGAAATCTGAGAGTTGAAATATATTTGGAGCCCCATAGAATCATATAGGCCATCAAAAATGATTGGAATCAGCTAAAGAAACATAAAAAACAACACAATTAAAGAATTAAGGAACATATTGAAGGCGACAATCTTTCTCATGCCCCTGAGAAAAAATGTAATGCTCCCAATGCAATTTGTTGCAGGCAAGAAGTTTTGTGTGAAAATTATTATTTGTTATTTATTTATTTGAAACAAATGCCAATTTTGTTGATAGAATTATATTTTTTTCTAAGCGTACCCAATAATCCCAATTCTAAAATTCGTAGGATAAGGAATATCAGCTTCATGTGTATAAAGAAACAGAAAATAAATGGAACAATTACACCGCATGTGGCAATGCTATTAATCATGCCATTGTCTTATAAACAAGGGAACCTAAAGTTAAATATAGCGAGATTTTTCTCCTTATTGAGAAAATCGCCCCCAATAACATCTGACATTTCATCCCAAATTGCTCTAGTCCCACAATGATTCAAAAATTGACTCAAAAAAATAAAATATAACCCTTGAAATCATATCTCAGCTTGCTCTTGGCCATATCCTTCAAAATTGCAAATGGCTGAAGTAAATCTGGGGGTTTAAATACACTGAAGACTCCATAAAATTATACAACCTCCCAAAGTAACAAATTGAACGTAAAATAACCAGTTCATTAAGTAATTATCACAGAATCACACAATCCTACAACAAAATCTCGCAGTCTTTGTTCATAACAAGATTTTCTTCTAGAAATTCTGGAACGAAAGTAGCACAATGCATAATTTTTCGACGCAAAATAGCAAGTTCTAAAATGAAAAACTTCCAAAATTACAAACGCTTCAATACAATCTACAAAAAATCCATTCAATTCCACGCAGAACCCTTTATTCCTCACAAACGACAAAAATCAATCCTCAAAAACTGTGCAAAAAAAGTCTTCATTCATAAAAAAATTTTCTTCTAGAAATTCTCAACCGAAAGTATCATAATAGATACTTTTCCGAAACAACATCACAATTTCTAAAATGAAAAACTTCCAAAATTACATCCGCTTGAATACAATCTACAAAAAATCCATCCAATTCCACACAGAACCCCTTAATCCTCACAAACGACAAAAATCAATCCTCAAAAACTGTGCAAAAAAAGTCTTCATTCATAAAAAAATTTTCTTCTAGAAATTCTCAACCGAAAGTATCATGTCACATACTTTTCCGAAACAAAATAACAATTTTTAAAATAAAAAACTTCCAAAACTACAACCGATTCAATACAATCTACCAAAATCCATCCAATTCCACGCAGAACCCTTAATCCTCACCAATGACAGAAACCAAAAAGTCCTATCAATTTTCTCGTACTGCAGATTCCAAAATCTTGCAGTCTCTATTCATAAAAAAAATTTCTTCTAGAAATTCTCAACCGAAAGTATCATGATCCATAATTTTCCGAAAGAAAATAACCATTTCTAAAATAAAATCTTCCAAAATTCCAAGCGATTCAATATAATCTACAAAAACTCCACCTAACTCCGCGCAGAACCCCTCAACCCCTACAAATAACAGAAACCGATCCTCAAAATCCTGCGCAAAAAGAGAAAAAAAGAGTCCCATCAATTTTCTCGAACTGCAGATTCTCCCCCAACAACAACCGCTTAACTAGAGCCGACGTAGCTGCACTGGGCTCTGCAATTCCCCCTATCAATGCAGGGCTAATAACCAGGTAATCACCGTCCTGATAACAGAACAGCGCCTCCGAGTGCAGCCGACGCACCCCAGCGTATCGGAAACCGTTTTTCTCGTTCCCCCATTCTCCACACAAAAAACCCCCCAAAAAAAATCCAAAAGAAAAACTCTCTCACCACTCTCCGAGACCCTGTGCTCCTGTCCCTCATTATTATTGGTCTCCGTCTGATGGCCCATCGTCGTCGTTTGTTTTGGTTTGACAACGCGAAAAGCCGATGCCTCAGCGACTCCACGACGGGAGAAGTCGAGGGGTCCCACGCCGACTGGCGAGTGCTGCTGCTGCACCTCCATCATGATTATCAACTTCAAAATGTCATAAACACTTGATACATCAACAATCCCATCCGACACTCTCAACCCGTTAATCAACCGCGTAAATTCACTGAACGTCGCCACTAAACAACAGCCAAAAATTATACCAACAAAACAATCATAATCATCACAACATAAACAAACAAAATCCAAACGACGAGCATAAATTCAGATAGTGATTCAACGCTTTTTTTCTGCAGATAAAAATCAACTGTTCCTTGGAAATCACAATTGGGGCTGAATTTTCGTGGATACGTTGATAGCGAGTGCGCTTCGACAGTCGACTGCTGTTAACGGTCCTCTGATAGTGCCCACCAAGTGCCCCCACCACTCGTTTTGTTGACGGAACGAAAGTCCCGTCTGAGGGGTTTCTGCAGTTGTGTTATAACGCACTTGTGATAAAAACGGCGGAAGGGGGGGGGGGAGAGAGATGGAGACAACCACTGGGTTTGTTACCAGGGATTTTCGACGTTGAATCACTTGGCCACGCCTATTCACGCGGCTGAGGTTACGCCCACATTTATCCCTACTATATTCCCACCCCCGCGATGAGCACAAGTGGAGTTGAGGTCTCTCTGTCTCTTGCGGCTGGCGAGGACGGGCGAGGGAGCGAGCGAGAGCGCGAGCCTGCGGGGGATTGCGAGGTCTGTACCACTTTGTGTTGTTGAAATTCTCCCTGTCGCGTTTTGGGGGGTGCGCATGCGGGGGTTTCGCGAGGTTTTCAAGGGTTGGCGAGGGGGGAGGGGGGAGACATGGAATCGTGCAATCCGAGGATTCAGGGAAGAGGATGATAATAATTTCGAGGTTTTCTGGAGGTGAACCTTTGAGAATTTTTTACCACGAGTCTTCGTAAGGGATTTTAAGGGCTTGGGAAATTAACATTGATTAGATTTGTTTTTGCTGGGAATGAGAGGGGTTTTTATGGGGGAGGTTGGGACGGGAGGATGTTTAATTTAGGGGGAGGGGTTGATGCGGGATTCAGAAGTGAGGTATTGATTGGGTTTAAATTTCGAGTTTTGGGGATGTGAGTTTTTGGGGGTTGGATTATAGAATACTTTGAGTAATTGGGTTTTGTGGGAGTTTGTTGCAATTAATTATGGAAATATCACGTTTTAGTTTGGAATGTGTTGATGGGACTTTAGGGTAATTCTGTTGAGGGAGACACCTTTTTCGCTTTATTGATTTCATGATTCTTTCATTGGGAAGTCTAGAGATTTGGAATAGGATTTGATTGATCTGTTCTGTTAAAAAGTCTTTAGGGGTTCAGAATTAAATGCTCTGGAATCCGTCAAAATTGATTTTTATTGCGAGAAATTTATAAAATTTTTTGGTTTTCATACAATTTTGTATTGTTTATTAGAATAACCGAGGGGCTATCTGTATCGCTCTTGGAGGAAAGGAATGATGTAAGTCGGAAAAAAATTTAGATTATCTGATTTCTTAAAAATCAATTTTTGGTCATAGGAAAAAAGCGAGTGTAGACATTTAAACTCTGAAATTATTCTAAAAATTTTCTCTTTGTCATTCAAGGCGTAAGGCAGAGCTTCACTTATGACAAAAAGTATTATTCGTCACACGTACTAAAAAAACTTTCTAGCTCGTACGATTGCAGCCCTCGCCTTCGGCTCGGGTCTCATATTCGCCAGAAATTTCCTTCGTAAGGGATTTTAAGGGCTTGGGAATGAGAGGGGTTTTTATGGGGGGGGGAGGAGGTTGGGATGGGGGAGGATGTTTTATTTGGGGGGAAGGGGTTGATGGGGGATTCAGAACTAAAGTATTGATTGAGTTTAAATTTCGAGTTTTGGGGATATGAATTTTTGGGGATTGGATTATAAAATACTCTGGGTAATTGGGTTTTGTGGAAGTTTGTTGCAATTAATTATGGAAATGCCAAGTTTGGAGTTTGTTGATACATCTTTAGGGTAATTTTATTGAGGGAGAAGCATTTTTGTGTTTTATTGATTTCATGATTTTTTCGTTGGAAAGCCTTGAGATTTGGAATAAGATTCGATTGATCTGCTTTGTTAAAATATCTTTGAGGATTCAGAATTAAATGCTCTTGAATCTGTCAAAATTGATTTTTATTGTGAGAAATATTTCAGTAGCAAAGTGGTAAAACGGTTTACGTCGACTCATCTCCCACTTAAGTTTTTGAGAAATATTTCCGAATCTAAAGGAGATAGCGAAATTTTCGCAATCACATTTAATGTCGCTCTCAATCGGTGCTACAGAAAAGGTTATAACAAAAATTTTACTACCTCCCTTAGATTCCGACGTATTCATTGAAACCTGGCCAATCGACAAAATTGACTTGAACTGTTTTACCACTTCGCTACTGATTTGTGTGACCCTTTGATTTTTATACAATTTTGCAGTTTTTCTTGGAATTCACCAGGGGTTATTCACTGGCAAAATCACTGTGTCAGTCTTAAATGAAATCCCATAGAATGAGTTTTAAAATCACGTGAAATCAGTTGAAATCGATAGGCGGAAAAAATGGTAGAGGAAGAAATCGCCCCTTGCAACGGGGACAAATTCCTTTGAAATCATGTCAAATCAATTATTCCTTGAAAAGACGTGAAATTACTTGAAATCAGCAATCGATATTCGGTACCACATACCCTCGGGAATAATATTTGAAAACATTGCACAGTATTCCTTAAGTTTATTGCTCTCTTTCATGTCAATGCATTATCCTATAAAACATCACTTTGTCTGCCATCATTTCCTCGATAAACGATTTTAATCACCCATCTCCCACACAGATTTGCTTTATATCGATTTTCAATACTCGGGATGATTTCAATGATTTCAAAGATACCTTGGATCGTTGATTTAATCGATGAGCCCACATCAGTTAATTTCAATATCAGGCATGTTCGTTCTTGCAAGTCACCCAGAAAACTCTCATATGGATCATAAACAGTAAAGATCGTCTTAGTAATTTGCTGTCGCGAATACGCGGTTACAGCAAAACAATTATGATAAAAAGATGTAAAATAGTATAGTGTATCACTAGTGTGTAATGTTCCTCTTTTTCTAGTGTGTAAAGTTTTCTGTTTCTGATTCAAGTCGCCGTCGACTTGATTCTAGTCGATTTTCGGTTTGATTCAAGTCGATTTTCAGCTTGATCCAAGTAGATTTTTGGACGTGATTGAAGTCGATATTTTGACTTCATTCAGGCTGATTCTAGGGAGTTATGCATGGAGCAGTCTAAACATCGACTTGAATCGAACCGAAATTCAACTTGAATCAAGCCGAAAAATCACCTTGACTCAAACCGAAAAATTGACTTGATTGAAGTTGAAGAATCAACTTGAATCAGACCGATGTGCCGGTCTGCATCTCGCAGAGTCAGACTTGATTCATGCCGACGCTTCAACATGAAATAAGTCGATTCCCGGCATAATTCAGTCGAACTTGATTCAAAGCGATTTTTCGGTTTGATTCCGGACGATTTTTTTTGATTGAACACATCCTATCTTTGGTGATACCCGCCGAGTTCACTTTCAGGGGGTGCAGTGGGTGTAAAGGGTTTGGTTTTTTGCGCAGAATTGGTAGAAAAGTCAATAAAGTTGGGTGTAAAGTCGAGTGGAAAACAAACAGTTTACGCCCTCTAAACCAGACCAAAAAATGAATTTTTCAGGCAGGTATTTCAAAAGTTCTGGAGCAGAGTACAGGAATTTTTCGTATCAAGTCGTATCAAGTAGTCAAATTTTCGGTGCTGGCACCGGAATTTTTCCAGGTTCGATAAAATGTTCCCATTTCACAAGCACAGTGTAATCTTTCTTGCATCTTGTTCTCTGTGAATGTTCCGTTAGAATTGACGAATTTATTTTCATTCTCGAACTCCAAGATATTGCGACATTTGACTCTATCCAACATTTTTCTAATACCCCTGGATAAGGGGTAAAAACAGGGAGGAAGAATGGAATATATAGTTGTCTCTGGGCGGTTGCATCAATCATACTCGCTCACTTGGTTCGTCGTCTGCGCGCGCGGGCCCCTCATCCCCTTGTATACCCGCAGTGGCGGTCGCTTTTCTATCATGCTGGGAAAAATTACTCACCGCGAGGAGACACACGACTCTGAAATAAAACGACTCGTCCAATATAAAAATCCATAAAATAAATAAAACATTGATATGTGTCTCGAAATATCCCTGATAATTTTTGAAAACTTCAATGAAAATGACTCGAATCATTACTCAATTGTCTCCGCAAATTGCGATAGCTCATATATTTTTCATAACAATCAAATAACTGAAGTTTGAAAAATTCATGCCTGAAGTCGAATTTGAAAAATGGGGCGAATGATATATTTCATTCAATTAAAAATGGACTTCAATCATTTTTTCATTTCGAATAAATTCATGGAAGTCAATTAGCTCGTATAAATTATTATACTAGTTTCAAGAATATAATAGTACAATAATACGATGCATCAAACTATGAGAAAATTAATAGAATGTTTTGTCTTTTTTACGAGATTTCCTACAATATCAGTGGAAGTGTTATCTGTTGACAATTTTCGAGTTTTGCAGGCAACCTTGGAGGAAATACTCGAGTAATTTTGAAGCTTGAGTAGTATACGGAAGGCAATTTTACAATTCAAAGATGATGCAAGAGAGTTCTGTGCACTGTTGAAAATTTTTGTCTGAATTTTTCGTGTCAAATTCCGGAAATTTTTATCATGTTTAATTTCCACTAAATTTTTAGGATATCTTGTCATTGAAAAATCAGATATTCCATTGATTTTTTGTTTGAATGATGTGAAAATCAGTGAAATACATGTTTTTTCCGTTTAATTATTCCGTGAAAATTCGAAAAAATCTGGAAATTCTGGGAAAATTTGAAAATTCATATAGTTTTATTTCTGAATATTTGTTCCATTGAAAATTCAATCAAGTTGCGTACTTTCGGTCTCACGTCTACTGAAAACTCATAAATTTCGTCAAATTCAAACTAAAACTGGAAGTTTCAGAACAATTTTTCCCCTAAATCAGATTCAATGTCACTCTCATGAGAATTACTATCATATTTTTAGCTATAATACCTCAAGACCTTCAAAATTATCGAATATTTTCCGAATGTTTTGTTGCATAGCAACGAGAGGGATCAGTTTTACAGATTAAAATCCCGAGTGCGAAGCGCGAAAAAAAATTCAAATAGAATTTGAATTTAGAGAGAATAATATTTCTCACATACCAAAATCCTTTGAAGGAATTCCTTTGAAGTTCTAGGAATT